GAGGCCGGGGATTTGGCTCAGTGGTTCCACCACCTGCCTCGAAAGCTGAAGGGTCCCAGTTTGATCCCAGGTACCAAAAAAAAAAAAAAAAAAAAAAAAAAAAAAGAGAGAGAGAGAGAGAGAAAGAGAGAGAGAGAGACCAGCCTGGGAAACTTAGTGACTGAGTAAGACCCTGTCTCAAAATAAAGATAGTAAAGGAGGACCGGGGATTTAACTCAGTGATTCTGCCACCTGCCTTGCAAGTGCAAGGACCTAAATTTGACCCCCAGTACAAAAAAAAAAAAAAAAAAAATAATAAAGGACTGGCTGTGCAGGCCTGGGTATCACACACACATACACACACCCCAAAACCCTTAGTGCATACATGGCTAGTAAGAAGGCAGAGACGTTAACAACTGCAACAGTGCAGCCAGCTGTTCATAATAGGGGAAACCTAGGATTAGGAGGGCCTATAGGAGCTCTATTATCTACTGAGTTCTATAAGTCTAAAAAATTTTTGTTTTAGAGACAGGGTTTTCCTGTGTATCCCAGGCTGGCTTCAAACTCTCAGAGATTCTTATACCTCAGCCTCCCAAGTGCTGGAATTACAGGTGTGTGCCATCATATCTGGCTATGAAAATGTTTTTTGGAAAAAAAGCCTATTAATATCTTTTTTCCCTGTGCTGGTGATTGAGCTCACAGTCTTCACATTGAGCTGCACTCCTAGCCCTTTTTTAATTTTGAAAGAGGGTCTTATTAAATCTCTGAGTTTCCGAGGCTGGTGCTGAACTTGAGATTCTCCTGCCTCAGCCTCCCAGAATGCTTGTATGACAAGCAGATGCTATCATACTTGGCTTTATTAATACTTTTTTTTTGAGACAGGGTCTCACTATGTAGTTCAGGCTGTCCTTGAACTCACTATAGAGCCCAGCCTGGCCTCAAACTTACAGCAACACTCTTGCCTCAGCCTCCAACATGCTGGGATTACAGGTGTGTATTCATATATTTTAAAAAATAAAAATAAGACAATAAATAAAACACAGGGCACTAGACCCATGATGTCATTAAAGATTAAATTGATCTGAGAGTTCATTTTTCTTTGCTTAGTGCATTATTTCTGTGGCTGCAGCAGACTGTAGAGTCAGGGACAGAGTCAACCTTGCTGGGACATGGGTGGCCTGGTTCTTACCACAGGGTGGAACAGCACCCCTAGGACAAGGAAATCCACCATCTTGGAATTTTTTTTTCTTTGCAAGGCTGGGGATGGAACCCAGGGCCTCACACATGCTAGGCAAGCACTCACCGCCGAGTTCGTCTCTCGCTCTTTTTATTTTGAAACAAGATCTTGCTAAGTCACTGAGTTGCCCAGGCTGGGCTTGAACTTGTGATCCTCCTGCCTCAGGCTCCCAAGTAGCTGAGATCACAGGTATAGGCCATTGTGCCCAGCTTGGGTATTTGAAAGTCTTGCCCAAACCCACTGTGTATGCCCCGGGAACAGACTGGGCGCAGACTCAAGGAGGGGAGATGGCACATGTGGGTCTGGCTTTCGGAGGGTTAGGGGTGCTGTAAAGGGCCAGGGCCAGGGCCAGCTTGACCTGTTGGAAGTGCTCTCGGGTGACCTGTCCAGGAGCCCCATTGCCTTCACTTAGCCCACACGGCGACTGTGACAGCACCAGCGAATGCAGTCCCAATAATGGCCACGGTGTGGAGCTCTTCTTGTGAGTCCTGCTTCCAACAACAGTCTCCATCCCGCTGTGCGTGGTGCACACCTGTCATCCCAGCTATTTGAGAGGCTGAGGCAGGAGGATCCCAAATTCAAGACCAGCCTGGGCAATTTAGGGAGATTCCGCCTCAAAATAATAAAAAGGGCTGAGGATGGAGCTCAGTAGGGAGCGCTTGTCTAGCATGTGTGAGGCCCTGGGTCCCATTCCCTGCACCAGGGGCTGTCCTTGGTCACCGTACTCAGGGCGACTCTGTGGGATTATATTCTCTGTGTACCATTGCCTTTTTCCCCGTATCTTAGACCAGGGGCTTCCCCCGGGCTCCGTGCTCTGGGGGCGTCCGGGGTGCGGCAGGTGCTGGGCAGCATCCTCCACCTCCACCTGTTTCTTGCCAGGAACTCTCCGTAAGTGACAGATACAGATGTCTCCAAAACATCCCTGGGGGGCGGGATCCCCTTGGGGGGCCCCGAGTTAGGAGGGATCCTTCATCCCCTCAACTCCCATTTCATCCTAGGCTGCTCTCTTGCCACCTTTGCCCTGAGCTATATATTCAGTCCTTTTCATTTCTAAAATTTTATTTGGAGACAGCGTTTTACTAAATTGTCCAGGCTGGGCTCAAAACTATGATCTTCCTGCCTCAGCCTCTCAAATGTCTGAGATTACAGATGCACCTCTTCTGGATACAAGTTTCCTTTTAACTTCTATTTCGGAGTCTTTTCTCTTTTGTTTTCCTTTCTTTTTTTTCTTTAGTCAGTTTTCTTCTTTTTCAGTACTGAGGATTGACTCAAGGGGCTTTGAGTGTACTAAGCACCCTCTCTTCAAGGAGCTACACTCTGCACACCTTGTTTCTGGTTATTTTGGGTACATATTTGGGGATGGGACTGCTGGATCATATGGTAATTTTTTTTCAAAGTTGGAGTTGAACCCTGGGTCTTCACACTGAGCTACATCTCCAGAAATTCTTGTTCTGTTTTTTGGTTGTTTTTTTTAAATTATTTTATTTTGAGATGAAGTTTCTTGCTAAGTAGCTCAGGCTGGCTTGAACTTTGTGTGTGTGTGTGTGTTTGTTTGTTTGTGTACGGGGGATCGAACTCAGGACCTTGGGCTTGCAAGGCAGGCAGCGGAACCACTGAGCTAAATCCCTGGCCCTGGCTTGAACTTTTGATCCCCCGCCTCAGCCTCCCAGAGTGCTGAGATGTCAGGTGTGTGCTGCCGTACCTGGCTCTTTGGGGTTTTTTTTGGGGGGGGTCCCAAGTTTATTGTTGAAAGTGGAGCTCATGGCTCAACCTCAGAAGCTTAAGTATTACTTCAACTAACTAGGTGTTCACGGACTTGTAAAAAACAGTTGTTCACCGGGTTTTATTAGAATCATATTGAAACCATGTAGTCGGAACAGAACCTGAATGTTTGTTGTTTTGTTTTATTGTTTTGAGGCAGGGTCTCCCTGTGTAGCCTAGACTGGCCTAGAACTTGTAGCAATCCCCTTTCCTCAGCTACCTCAGTGCTGGGATTTTAGCATCCATCACAATCTGATTTTTTTTTTCAGTTTATTGGCACATTTAAAGCTAACAGCACAGTTACATTCATCATTGGGATCGTACAAAGTTACATGATGTATCTTGGTTCCCATTTTTCCCCATACCCCTGCCCTCCCTTCACCCCCTTCACCCTTCCCTATTTACAAAGGCTTTGTCTCCATTTTCCCACATTTTTTCTGTTCCCTTATTTCCTTTCCCCTCCCCTTTCCACTTCCCCTTTAGCCCTTTTCTTCCTATTTCACACTCCCAATTGTACCATTTGAACCCTATTTACACTTTTAGCTTTTCACACCAGAGAAACTATTCGGTATTAACTCAAGTGTGTCCTGTTTATTTCACTTAAGAGTATGGCCTCGATGTGCATCCATTGAACTATAAATGTTTCTAGTTTCTCATTCTTTATGGCCACATAGTACTCCATTTTATAGAAAAACCACATTTTGTTTATTCAGTCTACAGCTGATGGGCATTTGGATTGTTTCCAAGTTTTAGCTATTACAAACTGTGCCGCTATAAACATGGGTGCGCATATATCACTGTGATATGATTCTTTTACTTCTTTTGGAAAGATACCCAGCAGAGGAACGGCTGGGTCAAATGGAACCTCCAGTCCCAGCTCTTTGAGGTATCTCCATATTGATTTCCACAGTGGTTGCACCAGTCTGCACTCCCACCAACAATGGAGAAGGGTTTCTTTCTCCCCATAGCCCTGCCAGCATTTGTTATTGGTTGATTTCTTGTTTTCTTTTTGTTTTTGGTACCAGGGATTGAACTCCAGTCCTTACGCTTGCAAGGCGGGCAGCAGAACCACTGAGCCAAATCCCCGGCCCTATTGGTTGATTTCTTGATAGCAGCCATTCTTTCTGGGGTAAGCAGGAATCTCAGCATTGTTTTCATCTTCATCTTTCAAATGACCAGTGATGCTGAGCATTTTTTCATATGTTTATTTGCTGCTTTTACTTCTTTGTCTGAGAAACCTCTGTTCATTTCAGATGCCCATTTTTGAATGGCGTCTTTGTATTTGGGAGAGGTCTGATTTTTTTGAGTTCTTTATATATTCTAGATAATAGTCCTTTGTCTGAGGAGTAGCTGGTGAAAACGTTTTCCCACATTGTGGGTTGTCTCTTAGCTCTGTTGGTGATTCATGCACTCAGCAGAATTTGAATTTAAAACTTTGAGTTAATTCTGCTATTTTTGTTTTGAATCCATTCCAAGACCAAGATGTGGTTTGTTTGTTTTTGTTTTTGTAGACAGGGTCTAACTACATAGCCCAGGCTGGCCTTGAATTTGAGGCAATCCTCCTGCCTCAGCCTCCCTTGTGCTGGGATGACAGGTGTGGGTCAGCATGTCCAGCTTCGTTGGGATTTTAAAACTTCTTTGTGGGACCTGAGCTGACGTACCTACTGGTACCTCCCTTTTTTCCTAAGCAGTTTTTATGCTGAGGAAACCCAGTACCTCATTTCTATAAAATGCGAAGAAACGGGCTGGGGATTTAGCTCAGTGTTTCCAGCGCCTCCCTTGCAAGCACAAGGACTTGAGTTCGATCCCCAGTGCAAAAAAAAAGGACACTATTAAAATGAGAAAGGACCTAGCACCCAGGCAGTTGCCTAGAAGGAGAAGATTGTGACGTCACAAGCGTTGCCTTGGCAACACCCAACAACCAATCAGGGATGCTGCTGCACCAGACTCGCCTTGCTTGTTCTTGATTGGAGGAGACATTGTGTCATGTGCACCCATAGACCAATCAGAGGTTGGTGCAAAGGTTTTTGTGTGTGTGTGTGTGTGTGTGTGTGTGTGTGTGTGTGTGTGTGTGAGACTACAACCTATAACTCAAGGTGGGGAAAAACACAGAGGTAAGATTAAAGAATATGTTTCCTCATTCCTCAAAGTTAAATATTCTCTCGGTTTCCTAAAAAAAGAAAAAAAGTGTTTGTGGTGTTGTAGGTTTGTGATCTCAGCACTCTGGGAGGCTGAGGCAGGAGGATAGCATATTCAATTCGGCATGGGCAAATTGGACTCTGACTCAAAATAGAAATTGTAAAACGGACTGAGGATGTAGCTCAGTGTGAAGGCCCTGGGTTCCACCCCAGGATAGAAAAAAAGAAATTCTACCCAAGGTTGAAGTAGATTATTTCTTGAATTTCACCCCTTATCATCACTCAAAACAGGCTAATATTTTTATTTCTTGAGGCACAAGGTTAACTCTTCTAAAAAAACAGGGCCAGGGATTTAACTCAGTGGCACCGTGCCTTCCTGGAAAGCACAAGGTCCTGAGATCGATTCCTGGTACAAAAAACAAAACACAAAAAAATATTCCAGAAACTTTCAGTGCGAGGGTGGTGTGGGAGCTTTTCTTGTCTCTTGAAGTTCTTTTACCTAGAAATAAAAAATCGGCCCAGGAGGTTAGGAAATTAATATATTCTGTCGTGGGTTTATTTTTAATAAAGCATGATTGTGGGCTCTGGGTATGGGAGATTGTTACAGATTGTTGCTGTTCTGACACCCACAGGCAGAAGGAAATCAACACTCTAGGTCACTGTGCAAGACACGGACAAATGCACTGGAAATGTTTTGCCTTTTATTTTTCTTTTATTGTTCTGCGTAGAAACAGAGGCAGGCTGGACAGTTTCTATGTGTTGGGCTGTATGTTTTTGTTTGTTCTTTTTTTTTTTTTTTTTTTTTTTTTTTTCT